TTGGTATGATTTCAATCTTGGTGTATCTGTTGATATTTGTCTTGGGTCCCAGTATGTGATCGATCCTGGAGAATGATCCGTGTGCGCTTGAGAAAAATGTGTACTCCGTTTTTTGGGGGGTTTAGTGTTCTATAGATGTCTGTTAAGCCCAAATGCTCTAGGTCCTTATTTAGAGCTTTAGTTTCTTTACTTATTTTTTGTCTTGTTGATCTATCCATTGTTGATAGTGGTGTGTTGAAGTCTCCCACTACGTATGTGGTTTCTCTGATGTCTGTTTTCAGAGAGGACAACAGTTGTCTGATATATTTTGGTGCTCCTTCGTTTGGTGAGTATATGTTAGTGAGTGTTATTTCTTCTTGAAGTATTGTCCCCTTGATCATAATGTAGTGACCATTGGGGTCTCTTTTTATTTTTTTGAGTTTGAAATCTGTTTTATCTGATATAAGTATAGCTGTTCCTGCTTTCTTTTTTGGTCTATTTGCTTGTAGGATTGTTATCTATCCTTTAACTTTGAGTCTATTTTTATCTTTTGTAGCTAAATGTGTTTCCTGGAGATAGCAAAAGGTTGGGTTTTGTTTCTTAATCCAGGCTGCAACTCTGTGTCTTTTTATTGAAGAGTTTAGTCCATTTACATTTAGAGTTAATATTGATATGTTAGCATCTGAATTTGCCATTGTGTTTGTCTTTCCTTTGGTTTTATTTATTTATTCTTTCAATAACTTTTTTTTTTTGGCCTTCTTTCATTATTATTCGTCCCTCAGAGGTTCTGGCTTTAGGATTCCTTCTAGTATTTTTTGGAGTGGGGGTTTAGTCTTAATGAAATTCCAGAGTTTCTGTTTGTCTGGGAAGGTCCTTATTCTTTCTTTATAGAGGAAGGAGAGCTTTGCGGAATAGAGTATTCTTGGTTGGCATCTGTTTTCTTGGAGTCTGTTGACTATGTCCCTCCACTCTCTCCTTGCCCGTAGTGTTTCTTCAGAGAAGTCTGATGTCAGCCTGATTGGTTTTCCTTTGAATGTTTTCTGTTTCTTCCCTCTTGTCAGCTTCATTATTTTTTCCTTGTCCTGGATTCTTGGGAGCTTTACTATTATGTGTCTTGCTGTATTTTTCCTTTTGTCGTGGAAGTTTGGTGTTCTTCTTGCTTCTTGTATATCAATTTTCAGCTGCTTCTTCACATTTGGGAAGTTCACTTCAATTATCTCTTTGAATATTTTCTCTGTTCCTACATCTCTCTCCTCTCCTTCTGGGATTCCTATAACTCTTATATTTCCTTTCCTCATGGAGTCAGATAGTTCCCGAAGTCTTTCTTCGTTCTTTTTCCTTTGTACTTCTCTTTCCTTTTCTGTTTTGGTTCTTTTTATTTCTGTGTCTTCAAGAGTACTTATTCGTTCTTCCATTTCATCTATTCTGCTTTCATTGCTTTTCCCAGAGTTCTTTAGTTCCTCCATTAATTCTTTGATCTCCTGCATTTCTTTTGCTTCCCTCTTTAGGGACTCAATTTCATTCTTCTGACCATTGTTTTCCCTCTTTAGGGACTCAATTTCTTTCTTCTGATCATTGTTTTCCTTTATGAGTTCTGTCATTTTTTAATCACGGCAATTTAAAATTCTCTTTCTGGAAGGCTCAGAAGTTCTTCCAAGTTACTGTCGTTGTAATCTGGGGGGTGGTTTTCTTTTTGTGGTGTGCTTTTTTCCTGAGGAGTTGTTAGGTTGCGTGTGGTTCTTCTACTCCCTACTGTCTCTTTTCTAATTTGTCGTATGCATTGGGACACTGTGTTGCTGGGACTGGCCGGCATCTTGGGTGAGCTTCTCCGCTCCCTTCTGGCTCCTCCAGGAGCCATCTGTCAGTTTCAAGCAGTCTTTACTGAAGAAAGGTCTCTGTTCTAAAATGCCGATGTGGGGACACACTACCCTGTGCGCTTGATCTGCCCCGGCGGTGGGTTCCCGCTCCCCCTCTGGGTTTGGACTGGAGGCCAGAAGGGGCCTGGTGTGGGCGAGCTTCCCCGCTCACCTCTGGCTCCTGAGGGAGCCTTCTGCAGGCAGTCTTTACTGAAGAAATGTCCCTGTTCTAAAATGGCGATGCGGGACGCACTCCCTGCGGGTCCGGTCTCAGGCACACTTTTCTGCGCACCCAGTCTGCCCTGGCTGTGGGTGCCCGCTCCCCCTGTGGGCTCAGACTGTTGGTCTGAAGGGGCCTGGGGTGGGCTAACTTCCCAGCTGGCCACAGGCTCCTCCAGGAGCCTTCTGCTGGTCAAGCAGTCTTTTCTGAAGAAAGGTCCCTGTTCTATGGGGTGTTAGTGACTTTTTTTCTGGTCGCTAGGTGGCACCAGAAATCTTTCCTATTGTTCTTGGGGAGCTGTTTTTCTCACCCCGTGGGACAGGGAACAGAGTGGGAATGGTAGGGAAAACCTCAACGGCTTTGGGGTGCTGTGTCTGCCTTGTGCCCCACCTACGTGGAGGACCCATGCCCCAAATTTCGTGCCCCGGGTCTCAGTTCCAAAGCCCTCAGGTCCAGGACACAGGCTGTAGCCCAGTTCAGTGGCCGCAGGAATGGCGCCTTTTGCACCCCACACCCGTGTCCGGGCGCCTGGTTTCTGATTACTCAGTGAGGAAATTTCACCTCAGTGAGGGCCCCCACGCGTCTCCATGCAAGCCTAGGTCACAGGCGCGGGTACCTGGGCAGCTGCAATCCGCGTTTGCTTTTCAAGTGCACCACTTTTCCGCACAAGCTTACCGGCCAGCCCGGGGCTGTGTGCAGGTCTCCAGAGTCTCTGTTGTTCTCTGATGGCGCCCAGAGCCGTTCGTTCACCTCTGCGGCAAATCCTGCAGGGTTCTCCACAGCTCCAGTTCACGGGATGTGGTGGCTGAAATAGTTCCTTTCCACTCACAGTCCCGCTTGATGCGTAGTTTGTTCTTGTTGGTCATTTTAGTTTGTTTTTCTCCTCCTCTCTGTTGGTCGGAGAGTGCCGACTCTGTGGGTAGGGGAGGGGAGCAGGGTTCTGCGCTTTCCTCCCTTCTAGTCCTCTTTTATGGCAACTTTCTTCTTCAGGTAGTTTGCTGGAGTCGTCCGTTTATCTTCCGTGTCCCAGTTCTCACTGGGACCTGCTGCTTTTCCTCCCTATTAACTTTTTTTTTAATGGGAGATCTTACTCACAGAGTCTCCTATTTTTCCATTTTAATATTACTTTTCAACAAACAAAAAGCATGGTACAGGAAAGATCTTGTTCATTTTCTATTACAAACTACAGGTAAACAAGTTACTTTATCCTGAGCATGCAGACACATAACCAATTTCTTTTTTCTTTTAGAAGTAAATAAAAATCGTATTTGTCCTTAAGGTAGTTTTCTTACCTTCTAGAATGTAAAATTGTTAGGTAGGTAAATCAAGCTTTTGTGAATTTACTTTAAGACTGGAAATAAATATATTATACATGAGAAAAATATCAATGAACAAATCTATATGAATTTATTAGATAACTTTCCGTTAGCCAATTAAACTACCATATTGGGCCTCCCTGGTGGCACAGGGGGTTATGATGAAACCTAGGAAGCTATCCGCAGCCTCTGCAGCACAAGTTCGATCCCCAGCCAGCCAGGGAGGAACTCACATGGTCCAGCAGACCTCTCCTGACTTGCACGCTGCTCCCCTCAGCAGTGTACTTTGGTCAATCTGCTGGTTCTGTTCCCCACTTTGTCTCTGAATCCTCTCAACCCCCCACAACTCTGGACTCTACCCCAGCTCTTGTATGCATAAATAAATAAATCTTAAAAAAAATAAAAAATAAACTACCATATTGATATCCCCAATTGTATTGCAGTGTCTCTGCATTAATTGCCAATCTATATTAATAAAATTAATCCATCTTTGTTCTTCAACTTGTCAATGAATTACAGCATTCTTTCAGTAAACTAGGATTTTGCCCCTATTATATGGTCAATCAAGCATCCTTTCTACATCTTCTGTTTTTAGTATTTGTTGCTTTTCTAAGCAACCTTTTCATTTAACCTTTCACAACAAATTTAACTCTTCCTTCGCTATTTTCAATACCGAGGCTGCTTGGCTTAAGGTTTCCTTAGATTTTTATTTTCCCCTTGATGGCTTTGCATTAACTTATAGATAACCTGAAACCTTGAGTGCTTTATTCAACACTCTTTGAGTTGTTTCTTTTGAGAATTACTGGTTGCCTCCTCCACTGCTGCTCTGCTTTCTAGTCTTAATGCTATATCTTATTTATTTATTCAGGACCCAGTCATAAGATATGACTCCACTGGCCCAGTTAGTTCCCATTGCCATATTTAAGAAACACAATTCCTCGATCATAATAATTAAGTAGTGACTCCAATTTGTGTTTGCAGTCTCTTAAAAATGTTAAAGGAAACACAATTTGTGAGATATGGCAGCACTTCCCACAAGACTTTTCCTGCCCTCTTCAGTCTTCCCATCCCTCTCTGAAAGAGATTCTGTCAGAATCGCACTTGGAGCATTCACGTTGTAACACCTGTATCCAACATAACTCACGCGGTTCTAATCTTTGTTTATTGTTTATCTCCTCTTCCCCTACCCATCTTTCCGTCCAAACTCATCTTAAGGAGTAAGCAAGAGGGAGAATATACACAATACAAATGTGGAATTTACGATAAAAATGTAAGAAACACTTTTGACTGGTAGGAGGTCATGAAGAAGAGTAGATAGGAACACTTATGGAGGCACTTCGTCCCTGTCAGTCATTCATTTGCTAATTCAATTCCACAGTAAACACTATAAGCCAAGTATTGTGAGGATTCAAAGTTGCTTAAGACGTGAACTTTGCATTGAAGAAGCCCACAGACTTAACAACAATGTGTTATGCTTTATCCCCCTTCTTCACGTCAGTTTGAAGTTCTTCTGAGCACATAGGGACACCCTTGCCAAACATGACTCCATTGTTCTATAAAGCAGAATTTGTTCTCAAAAGAAGAAAAGATGCAAATTATAACTGGATCTGAATCATAACTTGAGTTGCCATGATCTGTATCCTTTTTGCTTTGGATCCATTAATATTCTTCTGTTCTTGAGGAAGCTTCAGGGAAGATCTTTGATCTGGTGATGGTGCCGGGGTTCTTATTGCCATCACATGTCCAAGGCCAGTGACCTTCCCTTGTTATCTCTTATACATACTGTAGTCTTGTACTTCTAGATCATCAGGCTATGAGTGAAAACTTTTTCAAGAGCAGGAGCTGAGCTATTAGGATTCTTTGGATTTTAGTCCTCTTCTGCCACATTCTTCTCTCTGTCAGATTCACATATAAGGGTTCATTTTAAAAAATGTCATTAATAAAATCTTTATTTTGCTATTCTTTTGGTAGAATAAAATCAGTTCAGCAGGCAATTATTAAGCTTATCAATAATTTAACCATAGTACTAGATACAAACTACAGATACAAACTATAATGTAGGTGATAATAATAAAATAACAATACATGAAATTTATTGAACGCTTATGAATATCCCAAGTATTATTCTAAGTACTATATTTACATTAATTAAGTTGTATTCTAAGCATTTTAAGTAGCCCTGACTCCCAGCACCTACTGCTGAACCCATGGAGAACACAAGCCTTGGGAGTAGACACATGAATTCTCATCATTTTATTTGAAAATTTGCTGTTTGAGAATAAGGGATAGAGTCACGACCAGACATTTTCATTATCGTCTGAGGCAGAGCTAGCTTTTTTTTTAGTGTCATCTCTGTCCCTACGCTTACATCTAAAACTCCAATATATTTTATATATTTATTCATAGAAGACCTGGGATGTAGGCCAGATGCGCGGGAAGGTGAGAGGGTTCACCAGAGACAGAGTGGGGAGCAGAACAGGCAGACTGACTGAAATACACTGCTGAGGGGAGCAGCGGGCGAGACAGCAGAGGTCTGCTGTGCCATGTGGGTCAGTCTGTGACTGTAACGGCTGGCCATAGCTTGATAGCCCTGAAGCTTTAACCCCTGCGCCACCAGAGAGGCCCTAAAGCTCCAATTTTTATTCAGTTCTTGATCAGGGACATGTCCTCTGATGCAACCCATACTCATTACTCACAACCAGAAACTTCTTCCTCCTCCCTTATCCCACAACCTGCCAAAGCCTGAGCTGCCCAGCTCTGCTTCTCCAATGCAGGCTCACTGTGACTCTCTCCTGCAGGTCAATCAGAACGCAAGGTGACTGCGCTCTCTGGCAGCAATGCAAGTCTGTGCATCCCCAATTTGGGTAAATACAGAGAACTCAGCTGGTTTTTCAACGCCAGAGAGAAGATTGTGGAATGGGATTCTGGAAATCTATATACTTCGACAATGGATTTAAGGGCAGAGGTCACCTTGATCAAACTGGTACACTGCACATCTCTCATCTCCAGAAAAGTGACAGCAGCACCTACATCTGCGAGGTGGTGAGCAACGAGGGAAAGCTAGAGAGAAAAGACGATTCAGCTGCAGGTGTTTGGTGAGTTAGGGAAACTGAAGGGCAAGTCCCCTGTCAGCGATCCAGGGTGTACCCCTGGGAGGCTTCCTGGGGATCATGAGGATGCTCTGGGAGGAGGAGAAAAAAACCTCAGGGCAGGCTTAATCATTCCTTGTAAGCCAGTTCCACCTGAGGTAGAGCCTGCGTCAGCAAAAGGCAAAGCAAATGACTTCACTGTGTGCAGGAGCCAGGCATGTCTTACTCGAAAGCTGGTGTTTCGTCCCTCCTGTCTCAAAGCTGCTCCACCCCCACCCCCCCCCCACACACACACCATTCCATCCATCCATCTGCTGTCCATCTTTATAGATACTTAGAACACCTGCTATGTGGCCAGCTCTGTGCTAAATGTGAGAGATCAGTCAACAGACACAGTGCTGTCCACCGCATTTGCGAGGGCCATGAGAGACTCCTCTAGCTCTGCCACTATCCAGCAAGGGCTTTGCCATACACAGGCCAGTCCCTCTGGCCCCAGGACTCCTGTTGATTGGGGGTTGAGGCGCTCTTGAAGGATAAAAGAGCCAAGGAGCCGCTAAAAGGCCATTGCTAGAGAAAGGCTCCAGGGCAGCTTTGACGGGGAGGATGCCAAGTCTTGGTCCCTCTCTACCACAGAGGGTCATACACCTCTTTTGTTTGTTTGGGTGTGTGGTGATCCCCCTGGGTCCAGCTTAGCTTCACTCCAGGAGTAGCTCCACTGCTTGGAGATGCTGAGGACAATGAGCTCCCTGACTCCCTGTAGGGCTCCTCGGAATGATGGTGCTTCCCCCCGCACGCAGGGACTTCTGGCTCCCTTTGCACTGTGATGGCTCAGCCCTTGATGCTACTGTAAGTGCTAATAAATATAACACATTTATTGTTTTATCTCATAACATCTTTCTTATCTTCAGATCCTCTACCCCAGCCAGTTCTAAAACCAGAGAAGATAGAAAATGTGAACAACAATTGTTATCTTCTTCTGTCATGGGTGGTCCCTGACCCATCTGTGAGATACAGCTGGTATGGGAAGTCAGGGCTCCTTCCTGAATTCCAGCACAGTGTGCTTGAGACCACCGTCAACCAACAGAACTACTCCAACTCAGCAATCCTTGGGACAGGAATATAGACACAATCTAGTTCACCTCATTTTGTGTGTAGGGTAAGAAGTTTCCCCGAGGGTGCAGAGGAGGCCTGGGTGATTTTTTTCCACTTGAATGAAAAAGAGGTAAAGACCTTACCTGGCTTCCTGGCACAGAATTTGGTGATGAGACTCAAAGGAGCCTCAGGGTCAACCTGGGGCTCTGCTACTGTCCTTTACAAGCCGCCCCCCTGCTTTGTGGAGCTCAGGGCCCTTACCTGCAAGGGTGACTATACAGGGTAGCCACAGCCCCTCATCCTGCCTCCTTTCCCAATGCCTGACCTTGACACCAGAGGCCAGGGCAGACATGAATAGCCTGAGGTTTGAGGAGAGCAACATGTGTCAGTCAACACATGTTGTTGAGAGGACAGCTGGTGAGCAGGGACTGAGGGGTCTGCAAGGTAACCTGACTAGCATGGATGCAGATGAGTAGATGGACTTGAGTGATAAAAACATGCAGTGGCCAGAGGGAGAACCTCACCATAAGTCATAAGCTCCACTTCCCAGGGTTCATGCTCCTGATGAGCTTGAAAGGCACATTCTGGATTTCTCTTTCAGTTCATCTCTCTGGGGCACCCTCCCCAGAGCTTCACTCCTGCTCTCTTGACACAGTCTGATGGTGGAAGAGCTAACCAGAGGCACGGGAGCCAGCCACCCTGGCGACTAACCTGGGATTTACAGGACTAGCCAAACATGTTACTTTGCTTCTCCAAGTCACATCCTTCTCAAGTAACAAATAGCAATTCTTACATGTTGTTGTTTTAGGGACTACACGGGACCGTATAGCCAACAACCTAGCACTGTGCCTGACAAGCTTTCAATGAATATAGCTAAACTACGCCCAGTCCCTTCATTCCTGGAAACCCTAGGGGCTAGGGACCCCTTAATAGACCTGGAGACTCTCTCCGGCATTGCAGACTCTGCAGTCTCTCCTTTTATAGTCCTTAGATTTCAGTGTGGTATAGCTTATGGAATAATCAACAACAGTAATAATAATAATATGGGAGAAGGAGATAGAGAGTAAATGATGGAGTGATGCTTTATAGAGAGACAAAGAAGCCCTCAATAGTAAGAACTATTGCGTGGATCTTAAGGAAGTAACAACCATGTGGATATCTAGGGAAAGAGCTGTCCCTCAAGGTGGGAGTGTGCTCGGGGTTTTCAAAAACGGTGAGGTGATTAATGTGATAGATGAGGAACAGGTCAGGAGGAAGAGTCAGAAAGGTAGCCAAGGGTCATTCTAGAGGTTCTTAGAGGATTCTAGAAAGGACTTTGCATTTTGTCCTGTGGCAAGAGAGACAGTTACCTGTTGGGAGCCTTCTGACCTAAAGGGAGCTGGAGTTTTTGGAGAACACCTGTTTACTCTGCATGAGTTCCAGGACATTAGATCCTGCAAACAGAACTTCTTCCCAGAATTGTCTCCTGTTCTCTTAGGACGTGCTAGCTTGTGCGCATGTTTCCTACTAACCAGGACAACTTGTTTTCAGCAGTAACTTATTCATCTATATAAGCAAAAAACACAATTGTGTGCTATTTTCTTCTTCCTTTGTTCATATCTGTAATAAAAGCTTGGGTTGGGGGAGTGAGAGGCAGAGCTGCTCTCGATGAGTCTCCCCAGCCTCTCACCACTGCAAATTCATTTAGACTCTGAGTCTTCGTTAATGGCAAAAAACTTTATCGGCTGTCCTGTCTGAGGCCGTTACCCACTATAGGACAAAACATGATCCAATATAAGTGTTAAAAGTATCACTCTCTTCCAGATGTCTTGTTTTCTGTGCACACTTCCTTTTCAGTTCTTCTCCATGTGTCTTGGTGGGGTGTCCCCAAGAAGTTTTTGCTGATCTCATTTCTCAAGAAGACAGCAGCCATATGTCTTGGCTGAGAGAGGCCTGCCTGGTCGCAGGTGGGCTGGAGAGCTGCCTCCGCAGAGGAAGGTCAGTGAAGAGAAGCCCCAGCATGGTACAGGTCACGGGCAGGCAGGAAGGCTACTCCCCTGCAGAGGGAGAAATTTGGTGAAAAGCAGCACCTGCACAGTCACAGGAGAATCTTTCATACTAATTTTCACAGCTGGGAGAAAGACTGCTTCCCCATTGTGGGGGCAGCTGTAGAGTTTATCATCTTCCTTTGGTAAGGAGGGGCTCATCTTTGTGGGTGGATGGTTTGTTCCTTAATCTCCATATCTTAACCTTCTGCTCTGTGCTCCTGAACTCCCTACAGCCGTCTGATAGTTTCTCTAGCTGGAGTAATGGCTATGTTAATCCCTTCTACCCCACTTCCTTGCATGAGTCTGGTGGTGCCTCCTTTCCAGTTCCTCTATTCTTATTTTCCATCACGTCCACAACTTGAGCCCCTAATTTCATGGGCACAGAGGCCCTTGCTTTTGGGACCTCTCAGACCTTGCCTTAACTATCTCTTCACTGGGCTGTTTATTGTATCCTTTATTATATAATAAACTGGTAAACACGCTCCCCTAAATTCTGCAAGCCATTCAAGCAAATAATTGTATCCAAGGGGAGGGGTGGTCATGGAAACCTCTAATTTGTAGCCAAGTTGGGCAGCAGTTGTGGGCAAACTGAGACCCTTTATTGGCAATTGGTATGTGAAGCTGGGGACAGTCTCACGGGACTGAGTCTTTAGGTGTGGGAATGGGCTAGCTGATGAGTTTCAGAACCAAACTGAACTGTGGGACACCCAGGTGGGATGCCAGAATTAGTCAGTGGGGGCCACAGTCAACAGATCCACAGGTGGCAGTTGACTCTGAGGTGGGCTGGGGATCTGTGCTCACTGGATCCACTTGGAGTTGCCATGAGCTGTGGGTGTTGGCCTGGTGCAAGGACAATCTGATGTGGGTCTGGGATCTGCAGTGAAGTTGGGAGCTCACTTCACTCTCCTCCAACAGGAAGGCGTCTCTCTCTGTGAGTTGTTGGACTTTGTATAGGACTGAGGCGCATAATGGGCATAATTTGTATTGTCCACAATGCATTATCTCTTATTTCTGGCTTTACCCAGGTGTAATCCCTCACATCAGATTAGCTCAGTTCTTGGTAAGGTATATTTGTGGAAAATTTGTTCAAACTGATGTTTTTGAGAGGAGGTGATGTCATCCTTTCCTGTGTCTAAGATGAGATCTGTCCATGTAGTCACTAACCCACAAACGTGCATGTTCTAAACTGAGTCACTCTGCATTTATGTACCCAGGAGAGCTGTAGTCAGTGCCAACTGCTTGCACAGCTCAGATTGGGTCACAGTGCCTGGGGCACTTGGATAGGGGCCCTGACAATTCCACTTTCAGTGACAGGATTTTCATCTAACTGTTGACATGGCCTGCCTCATTTACATCAAAGCATGACATTTTGTATAAAAATCACCCTTCATTTGTGGCAAACGGCTCTCAGAATGTTTTGCGAATCTTTCATACTAATTTTCACAGCTGCTAAGCAAATGAACTCCTATCAAGTTTCCCTGCCCTCATCCTTTCTAAGGAAGGTTTACATTATACAAATATGTCAGAGTCTGCATTTGGTGGCTTTAGTCTGTTGGAAACAGAGCAGGTGAGGCAGACTCTTATGTCAGCAGAGGGCAGCGAAGAGCCAGGAGGTGTCAGGGTGGAGTTCGCAGAAGTGGTGGAAGGACCCTTCAACAGGGAGGAGGAACCACATTGCTGACACAGGAGACAGGGAAATTCCAATCATGTAGTTCACAATTTCTTCATATGAAGACCGGGACTATGATTTCATCTACTATGGCCAAGGCCCTGCTTCTTTGTCATTAGAAACTGTATTAATGAGTTAATTGAAACAACAGCTAATGTTTACTGAGGTGAGAACTTACTTCTATGTTATTTTAATGTAAATTGCCTCATTTAATATGTATAATCTTGACAGAGCTACAGTTATCCCCATTTCCTAGATGAGGAAACTGAGGCATAGAACATTACAGTCAATCTGTCCAAAGCCAAACAGGAAGAGACAGAACTAGAACCCAGGCAAGGCATTATGGCAGGACCATAACTGGTGCTTATCACCCACTGGGCAACACTGCCAGCAAGGGAGGAGATGGCAGGGGTCCTTCTGGGGGCGAGGAAAGTGGAGGACTGTGAGGTGGGTAATGAGGAACACTGACAATCTAGGGGTAAATGACAGCAAGCACACTGTACATTTCATCTCCTCCTCCCCCCCATGCCTTGTCTTCTCTAAGAGTGGAATGAAGAGGTCAAAGAAGGCTGGGAGTTGTTTTCTTCGGAAATGAGCATGTACCAACACGAGAAATTCAGGCATTCAGTATCAGTATCAGGCATTCAGACATTCAGAAATTCAGGATCTCAACTATGCTCTGAGATACTGGAGTGGAAGATGAGCATGGCGGAAACTGGGACTGGTCTGCCTAAAAGGGCTCCACTTTCTACTCCTTCAGGTTTGGGGCATGTTCCATCATTGCAGGCACAATACCTGGGGTGCCCAAGGCTCCAGGTGGTTTCCTTCCCTCCACCCTCCTTTTCACATTTCAGAAGTTGCGGGACTGATCTATGATTAGCTCTCAGGGATAGATATCTGGATAAATCCTCAAACCCATGAAACAGATACGAACCCCCACCCCAGAATCACCCCTCTTACTGTTACCCCAGAGACCTGGTGATTCTTGACCTTTAGAATTACAAAATGCCTTCACACTCACCCTATAGCTCCCCCACAGCAGCCCATGAGCAAGAGAAAGTGACTTTGTTCTTGTTTTACACATTAAATGATGATCACAGAAGAGAGATGACCATGTGGCTTTGGGAGCCCCTCAGACATTACCCATTACCCTTCGATCTCTGCATTGTAATTAATGTCTAGAACGTTTTAGAGGATTCTAGAAAGGACTTTGCAGTTTGTCCTGTGGCAATAGAGACAGTTAGCCACTATAGGAAAAAACATGATCCAATATAACTGTTAAAAGAATCACTCTAGGGTCTCCATGGTGGTGCAGCGGGTTGAGCACTGTGCTGTGAAGCTGTCCACAGCCTCTGCAGTGTGGGCTCAATTCCCAGCTGGCCAGGGAGAAACCCACATGGTGTGGCAGATCTCCTGCCTCACCTGCTGCTCCCCTCAGCAGTGTCTTCGGTCTGTCTGCCTGTTCTGTTCCCCGTTCTGTCTCTGATGAATTCTCTCACCCTCCCACGTCTCTGACCTGTACCCCAGTTCTTGTATAAATAAATAAAAAATCTTTTAAAAAAAAGTATCACTCTATTTTCCAGATATACTGCATTCTGCGCATACTTTTCTTTGCATTTCTTCTCCATGTGCCTTGGTGGGGTCCCCCAGGAGTTTTTGCTCATAACATTTCTCAAGAAGACAGCAGCCATATGTCTTCTTATCTCAAAATAGTATTTCTCCATATCTTCCCATAAAGCATTTACAAAAATGCTTCAAGTGATTATGAACTCACTGGGGAACAAAACCTAGAAAATCTTAGTAAAAGAATAGATGATATAAAGCAGAATCAAAGGGAAATTTTAACACTAAGTCATGCAATAAAAAATTTAAAACTCATTTGATGAGCTTAATATCAAAATGGAGATAATAAAGGAAAGAAATACTGGACTTGAAGGTAGAAAAGAAAATGTCCAATCTGAATAACAAAAAAATTGACTAAAGAAAACTAAGAGAGATCTGTTTCAATGACAAAAGATCTAACATTCACATCATTAAAATTCCAGAAGGAAAGGAGAAAAATAAAAAAGAATGTGAGACTTAAGAAAATATTTTTTGAAGTGTTAAAATGCCCCTAAACTTGACAAAAGGCATAAATCTACGGATTCCAGAAAATGGATGAGGAATTTCTCCAAGCAGGAGAACTCAAGGATATGCACACTAAGACACATAAATCAACCAGCTTATAGTTGATAATACTGATCACTTCTTTTTTTTTTTTTAAAGATTTATTTATTTATTTATACAAGTACCGGGTACAGTCAGAAGCGCGGGAGGGTGAGAGAATTCACCAGAGCCAGAGCAGGGAACAGAACAGGCAGAGTGATGAATTACACTGCTGAGGGGAGCAGCGGGCGCGGCAGGAGAGGTCTGTGCGCCATGTGGGACCCTCGCCCAGGGGCCGGGGACTGAACCGGCACTACGGAGGTGGCGGGCAGCTTCGCAACCCAGCGCTCAACCGCTGCGCCACCAGAGAGGCCCCTGATCACTTCTTATTAAGCCCCTATCATGTGCAAGGTGTTGGGATTTTTTTGTGCAATCTCACAAATCTATGAGACAGGTATTACTATTCCTGTTTTACAGATGAGGAAACCTGGGCTCAAGGAGGTCATGTCTTTTGCAAGATTATATGGCTTTAACATATGAGATAGGAAGTAGAACAGAAATTGAATCCCCAAAGCCAGTACTCTCTTTTTTTTTTAAAGATTTATTTATTTATGCATACAAGAACTGGGGTACAGGCCAGAGGTGTGGGGGGTGAGAGGATTCACCAGAGACAGAGTAGGGAACAGAACAGGCAGACTGACTAAAATACATTGTTGAGGGGAGCAGCGGGTGAGTCAAGAGAGGTCGACTGTGCCATGTAGGTAGCTTCCTGGCTGGGAGCTAACTGCAGTGGCCTCAGTTAGCTTCATAGTGCTGCATCTTAACGCCTTGCATGGCCACCAGGGAGGGCCCCGCCAGTACTCTTTTCTTACACTAGCTGCCAAGTACCACATCTGGCACTGGACAGATGCTTAATAAATGTGTATTTGGATTGAATCTTCCCAGAATTGCTAGTTGAGATCCTTCTCCAAGCAGGAGAAACTCAACAATATACATACTGAGACACATATATCAACCAGCTTGTGGTTGATTTTTAAGAAAAATTCTTAAAAAACAGCTAAGATTGAAACCTTAACTACAAGGAGAAACTATTTGAATAGCTGATGATTTATTATTAGAAGCCATTGAGAGCAAGAAGAATGGCATTGCAATTTTTGTAGCCAAAAGAAAAGAACAGTCAACCTAGGATTCCATACCCAGGAGGGAAGATGAAATCAAGACATTCTCAAGTGAAGGAAATTTTTCACTAACAAACCTACCTTAACAGAATGTGTAAAGGAATCTATGAAAAAGAAAGAAATGATAAAAAGAAGGGAACTTGGGATGTCGGGAATGAAGTGGAATAATGGAAAGAGTAAAAATACGGGTAATTATAATAAACTATCCTTTGGCTCTTCAGTTGTCTATGTTATGTTTGACAATTGAAGCAAAAAGTTATTGTTCTCAGTATATATAGAGAATTTATTTAAGACAAGCTATTAAGGAAAAAAGGTTAAAGAATCTAATATAGGTAAGATTTTTACACTTCAGGTGTACATAGACTGTAATGCCTAGAGCTGCCATTAAAAAATCCACTCAGGGCCTCTCTGGTGGCCTAGGAGTTTAGTCTCAATTCTATCACCGCCATAGCCTGGGTTTGATCCCCAGCCAGGGAGCTCACCCACATATGGCACAGCAGATGCTGCTGTCTCACCCATTGGTCACCTCAGCAGTGTATTTTAATAAATCCACCTGTTCTGCTCCCCACTCTTTCTGGTGTATCCTCTCACCCCCTGCATCTCTGGCCTCCACCCCAGT